TGCAAGAATTGGAAATGAGAGTATGCGAGCTATTGGGCAGTACTGCCCGAAGCTGAAGTCTATCGTGATTAAAGATTGCTCACTTGTTGGAGATCAAGGAATTGCCAGTTTATTGTCTTTGAACACTTGTGCTTTGAACAAGGTGAAGCTTCAAGCTTTGAACATTTCTGATGTGTCCCTCGCTGTTATCGGGCATTATGGCAAGGCAGTTACCGACCTTGCCCTCACTGATCTAAAGAACCTTAGTGAGAAAGGGTTCTGGGTCATGGGCAATGGTCATGGACTACAAAAGTTGAAGTCATTCACAATCTCCTCCTGCAATGGAGTAACAGACATGGGACTTGAATCTGTTGGAAAGGGTACTCCAAACTTAAAGCATTTTTATCTAAGGAAATGTTCATTTTTATCCGACAATGGTCTGGTCGCTTTTACGAAAGCTGCCAGGTCGCTCGAGTGCTTGCAATTGGAGGAGTGCCACAGGATTACTCAATTTGGATTCTTTGGTGTTCTTTTGAACTGCAGTACAAATTTGAAGGCACTTTCTCTCATAAGCTGCTTGGGAATTAAGGACATTAGCTCAGAATTGCCCATCCAAGTCTCGAGCGGATCCTTGAGGTCGTTGACCCTTCGTAGCTGCCATGGTTTTGGCAACAGAAACCTTGCTTTACTGGGCAAGCTGTGTCCTCGGCTGCAGAATGTGGATTTTAGTGGACTTGTTGGAATTGACAGTTGTGGGTTTCTAGCTTGGCTTCAAAACTGTCAGTCAGGTTTGGTGAAGATCAATGTCAGTGGTTGTGTCAACCTGACCGACAAAGTGGTTTCATCCATAATCAAGCGCCATGGTTGGACCCTCGAAATGCTTAATCTCAATGGTTGTAGGAAGATCACCGATGCTATCTTGACATCCATTGCAAACAACTGCCCGTTATTAAGTGATCTCGATGTCTCAAAATGTTCGATCACAGATTCAGGGATTGCAGCTCTATCTCGTTCCACGCAACTGAATCTACAGATCTTTTCAGTTTCTAGTTGCTCATTCGTATCTGATAAAAGCTTGGCAGACTTAATAAAATTGGGTGAGACTCTTATGGGTCTGAACATCCAGCACTGCAATGCAATCAGCAGTAGCACTGTTGATCTGCTTGTGGGGCAGCTATGGAGGTGCGACGTTCTTTCATAAAACTGATAACGAACCTAGTCGAAGAATTCAGACCGTAACTTGACGGACTGGGAATGTCCATAGCTCTAGCCAGCTGCTCCGATCAGGGGCGGCCTGTTCATTAAGTTTTGGGGTATAATCAATCACCAAGGATCGATCATCCCAGTCCAATACAATTCTGGTTCTTTTATTCCAGGGTATATGGTCATTTCCCTCTCTTTTTTTTTTTGCAGATCTTCAACTCCTTGGAGATCTGTTGCCTAGTAGAGGGATGAACCACTTTGGATGGCCAGTTTTCCCCAAGAACATTGGTACCAGAATCTGTGTCGGCTCTAGGTATCGACGCCTGGATTCGCCCGCTCCTCGAAGTTTGCCACATCATAGGTGCATGTTTTTCCTTTCTCTGGTTAATATTTTAGTTGTCTAGTTCTAGAAATTACTATGCGTGTCATGGTTTTGGTTTATTAGTAGGATTTTCCTCGAAAGGGTTAGGGAGGGGTCGTTGTCATTGTGCGGTTGCTTGTACAGTTGTGAAAGTATGGTGCCTTCTGTTTCCATAGGCTTTGGCTATCACAACCCATTTGGGTTGTTTTTTTTCCAATTGCCAAGCCCTAATGTTTGCGGTGCCTCTTTCTTTTTTTTTTTCCCCCCTCTTCGGTGAACTGTACATGCAAGCTCTCCTCAAACATGTAATAAAACCTCACATCCCTGCCCTTTGTGGTTGTATGTCTGTGTCTTTCTTTATGTAATGATATTTACATTTGAGAATAAAAAAGTTGTCCATTTTGTATTCAAGATAAGGAAGTTAGTGAATTGTGCTCACATCAGGTAAAACCCGAACATATATCTTAGCAATCGATGAACTATGCTCATTTCGACAAAAAATTAGTATTAGCGAACTATGCTCATGTCATCTATACTTGGGTTTTGCACTGATTTGATAATGCCTTTGTATATATCCTTTTTTTTTTTTTTTCTTCCTACCATCAATAATTAAAGGCAAATGTAGAGGTGGGACAGCTCCATTTTTATGTTAATAATTGAGATTTGGATTTCTTTTGAATAATTGACATATCATCTACCTCCCCTCAATTGCAAACATTGAATTAATCATATGAACCAAAATTATATCCAAAATAATAATGATATGGTTAGGAAATGCTTGATAATCACTATCAATACTAATAACATACCCATACTTTTGTGAATTAGTCACATATTTTAAAAGAATTTATATGGGTGGGTAGAAATAATTTGTATCTTCTTTTTATATCAAACACTATGATATAAATGTAAAAATATTTAAAAAATGATAAATAAATAAAATGAGTTCAAATGAAAGAATAAGAAGTTGGGTAAGAAAAGATCTCAACATTTTTCTTCGTTTTTAACAAAAGTAAAGTTGTCAATAATAATATTTTGAACAAATTCAATTAATCCATCGAAATATCATATAAAAGACAAATGAAGACGGTAGATATTTATTTGAAATATTTCTGTAACCACAAAAGGGGTTTTTGTTCCGAACCATTGTTGTTATCCCTTACTAAATTTCTTTCTATAAAAGAAAAGAAAGGTCTATCTCTTTTAAGTTAATTTTTTCCCTCTAAAAATAATATATAGCGAAAATACATAAAAAAGAGGATCTCACAACTCAAATTTAACAGAGCACAAAAGTAAATAAAAGAGACTTCAAACAAATTTAAGGATATAGATGTCATGAAAGAACACATAATGAGGAAGAATTTGAGACGGCCACTCATCCAAGACAAGCAACAACCAAATAAGTTTTGATTAGATAAGAAGTAAAATAGTTTAGCGAGGGAATGTACTTGTACCATAAAAATGAGAATCCAGTTTCATCTAAGTATAATAAATGTTTGCACACTAGACTAGCCTCTAAACACGATGACTACTAAGCACGACATTGATAATATGATAGATCTAGTTAAGTTTTGTAAACTAATAGAAGATTTCATGAGTGGAGGAATCTCGACATAAGACATCTCCCTATACATCACTGCTAAAGGAGCACTCAAAGAACATATCATCACGAAACTCAACCATGTTAAAACATAATATACAAGTTGTAGGAATTAGAGGTATCTCGTAGATCACGTGTATTATCTATATCAAAAGTCGATCAAGTGAGAAAAATGAATGCTCAAGGATTTTACTCCCAAGCCATAAGAGCTTATTCCATAATACCAACGACCAACTCTAAGAACAATTAGACAACATGAAATTTGAGATCATGGCATAAATATAACCATTAGTATCATCAACCAACTCTAAGAACCATTAGACAACGACCATAATACCAACAACCAACTCTAAGAACCATTAGACAATAGGAAATTTGAGATCACGACATAAATATAACCATTAGTATCATCGACCAACTTTAAGAACCATTAGACAACAGGAAATTTGAGATCATGACATAAATATAACCATTAATAGCATCGATAATCTTCTCATTGTCACCGTACTAGTAATGATAGGCCCCCTAAGAATCAAGAATCGAAGAGTCCATACCTTCCTCCGCAATCTCTAATGAGACCTCGTCAACCACTGATATGATTCTAGTGACGGGTAACACTCCATTTCAAACTGTTTCAAATCAAAGTGTTTCCTACTCCCACTACACGATTCAATTGGATCTCAATGATTCATATGCTAAGTTTTTTTTTTTATGCAAGATGAAGCAGAGGTTACTAAAACAAACAGTCATTCAACTTCCATATTCAACTGTTCAAGTTCTAGAGCACATGACAAGTAAATATGGTCGTAAATCATAATCATAATTGCTTGAAATTGTTTTCAATTCTTCTATCTTATTTCATTATCAAGTGCACTGCTTTCAAGATCTTATCTTATCTCGTAAACAGATTATCAAGTACAGGCTAAGTATAAAAATAGACTAAATTCATGAGGATTTTTATCAAACTACAGAAACTATATGAAGATTTATCAAATGATAACACTAAATTCTAAGTTTTAATAAACTATAGGAACTAAAATTCTGAACTTTTTTCGAACTTAAATATAATGACTGCAGTTAGAATCTAAGATGGCATAATTCCTGGAAATACAAAGATAATAAGAAATTAGGTAACTTTTGTGGGGGAAAAATCCATGAGGATCTTTGTACCTGCCAGCTTCCCACAATGATCAGACTAAAATTCGACTTTGAGAGCTCATTCGAATTATGAAACAAAATTCTTCCCATCTTTGAACCATTCGTATTCGGGTTCAGATAAATATCACAACAAAAATCTATAACACAAACAAAGGGATTATGAAGAAACTCAAGAAAAAATTCCCATTAGAAGCACAAAAAAAAAAAAAAAAAAAAAAAAAAAAAAAAAAAAAAAAAAAAAAAAAAAAAAAAAAAAAAAAAAAAAAAAAAAAAAAAAAAA